TTCCGATCAGACATTGAGACCAAATTTCTAGCAAGGCCAAGTGGTTCAGAAAAGAAGAAGAGGCTCAGGAGTTCCCTTAGCTACAATTCTAACTTGAACAGGACTTCAAGTTCCTAAAAAGGGGAGCTATGATACGGGTGTATCTTCTTCCTTGCCTCGGGAATTTAGTGATCCTCATGGGAACTTGAGGATAGGTGATTCTCATGATATCTTGAGAATAGAGACGTGGATGAAGTCGTTAAAGGCGACAAAGGCGGGCAAAATCACGAAGATTACAAGAAAAGACTGTAGGAGACGTTTTAGACTTCCAGCGGTCGACCACGCTTGACACCACGATCGACCGAAAACATACACCAATCCTGGGGAGGTCTCTATCGACCGCAGCGACATGTGCGGTCGACCGGCCAAACCCTGTAACGGGTTTTGGTTTCGATCGTTAGCTTCGGTCGACCGCATATGCCTTGCGGTCGATCGCGACTGGTTTCTGGGCCTTCCTGGTTCGTTTGGGACTGTTTTCCTGTTTAGTTTTGGTTTGTTTAATTACAAGTTTGTCATCCACGTTGTGAACTCTATAAAGAGGATTGTTTTAGGGTTCTAAAGGATCAAAGAAATCAGAGAGGTGAGATCCTAACCAAGAGATTAGGGTTTAGAGAGAATTGGGAGATTGTTCTTGATTCTAGAGATTGTGAGAGAGGGATTTGTAATCTATTATTCTTATAATCTAGAAGGTATTTTCCTTCGCAAAACTGAATTGTTCTTGTGTTTTCTATCATCTTCTTCTCAACCCACTCTTAATAATTCCGCGATCAATGGTGCTCGTCCGGCAACTCGTATCATGAAATAACTCAACCACATCATAATTATACGTTATTAATCAATATAATATGTGTTATTTTAATATAACTTACGTTACTTCAATATAGTTATGTAACATGTGTAATGTGTTATTTCAATATAACTTGCATTATTTCAATATAAGTTCTAGAGGCTGAGAGTATATTCTTTGTTAAAACATGAAGTAGTTAAGTAATTACTTCTGAATTCTTTATTAAGCCTTTCATGTCTTGTTTTGAATGTCATTATGTGATTGTGAAATTATGAATATGACTAAAAAACGAATGTAATTATGAACGAACTTAAAATTTTTGATCATATGCTTGAGTATTCGATTGTGATACTTCTTGATAGATCTATATAGCTTGTAATAAATTAAAGAATTTTAATTAAAAATATTTTGAATTATGATATTTTGTTCCTAATTTTCAAAATTATTATTAACATCTTTTATATTTTTAAAATTAAACAGTAAGAAAATATTTGTTCCTACTTGTGATGTTATGTTTGAAAATTATGAAGATTCTAATTATTAAAGTCATTATAAATAGTTTGTATCTATAAAGTATGTAAATAATTAATAAACAAAATAACATACATTATGCATAATGTTTTTTGCGTTTTTTTTTTCTTTAACCCTTAACAGTAAGTAGAGAGTTAGGTTATGTATTATCATTATGTTCAACATCGATAAGAAGTCTTTAGAAGTTTCTAACATTTTACCCATACAACATCAAGGAAAAAAGGAAAGATCATTTTCTACAGCAACTTAACATTGTGAATTAGTTGTTGGAGGACTTCACTGAGATGATAGGATACTGTTTACCATAATACAGGCAGAAATTCAAGTTGAAACCCTATACCTTCTAATATTGATCTAATGAGAATAAGGTGCCAAGAAAGAATAAGAAAGCAATCAAATACGTACATTCCATCTCATCAACTGCTTAAGAACACCAGGTTCACAGACAGCCTTAGCATCCTCCACTTTGCCGCCATCTTCTAATTTACGCAAAGCTGCTTTGACAGCCTGTAGACCCCAACAAGTAGCAATTAACAAAACACACTTAAAATGATCTACAGAATGTCATTTTTAATTTTTCACATTTCACCATTGTAATGATGTACCTCAACAGAGCGCTCAACCTTGCCCAGAGTGATACCCTTGTCAACATTCCTTGATGTGGTTGAATGAGTTGATGGCACTGTGAGCTTCTTTGCAATTCCTTCCAATGTGAGAGAAGATGTTGAATTTTCCATGAAAGCAATCATCCTGCATGTCAACAGATTACAGCAAATTAAATGACAGCACTAGGCTTTCCATCAGAGAATAGCAACATAAAAGCTAAACATGTTTCATGTGAAACAGTGAAAGGCACATATAAGTTGCAAGTTTTTTATGGATAACAGCTTACAGCCTCACATCTTGACCAACTATGCGGAAGAGTGATCTAAATAATAATAATGATGATATACACAAACTAAGTAAGATACTTAAAATTCCTACATTTTACATTATTGGTTATAAAATATTTAACCAACCAAAATGAACATCTATGCAAACAAATACCATTTACATAATGAAACAAAAATATTAATTAACTTGTTACTTATAGTAAAGCATTTATAAAACATAGGCAAAAGCATTTACTGCTGACCAAAAAAGGATAGGAAAAGGAAGGGAATCTTACTTCTTCTCCGTTTCAACATCAATCTTAGGGTATGAACTACTGACCACTTTTCCAGTGGATGCTGAAGAAACAGTAGCTGGTAGAGCCTTTGGTTTTTCCTTTGGGGACTTCTTACTGACCAATTGTGCAGTTCCATCAGATTTTCGTAATCCAGGTTCTGCACTGACTTTTGAGGGTTTCAACTGCTTTTGGAAGTTGAGCACTTCCTGCGTAATACTAGTTCTTGCAACATGCCGATTCTCCTCTGACCTGGAAAGTTTCCTAGTTGCATTTACAGATTTTATAGTGGGTCGTTCTTGGGAAAGCTTTTCTCCAGCCTGCTTAATCTTCTTCACCAGGACTTTCCTTTTATTTTTCTGCACATCTGCAGGCTTGCTCCTTTCAGGAATTTGTGGGAAAACAATATGATTTCTTATAGGAGTGCCAAGATCTTCATCAATCTTATGCTTCCTGTCCACCAAAAAGAAACAACAAATTAGAGTATCAAGTTAATGAAAATGTTTAACACATAAGCGATTAGCAGAGTATCAAGAGAAATTTAAAAGGGCATTAAATACAGGCAGTATATCAAGATGCGATGAGGAAGCAGGCCCTCCCATGCTCTCTGTATAATTCCTTCTTCTTCTATATCGTCGAAGGCAATTCTCCTAAGCATTAGCAAAACCAATTGCAGAGGAAAAATGTTAGTTATATAAATCACGCAGAGAGAAGAAAGCTTCATAAAGGCTTTGAAAGTACCTAGGCAGACACTTCCTGTGATATGACTTTGGGCAACGCCTGCACATTGCAAACTGCAACTCCTTTACCTCTTTGTTTTCTCCTTGTTTACAAACATGACATTTATGAACCGGACAAGTAAATGATTCCCCGGCAGCAACCTTGTCCTCGTACTCTGCTGCTTCTGCTTTATTCTCCTGGAACAATAAGTCTGCTACACATTTTGGGTGGTAGAAGCGACCACAAGTTGCATTAACACAGGAGAAAACCTACCAAAAAAGAGGAATTTTCACTAAATTTTAGGCATGCCAATAAAATAAAGGCAAGAGATAGAATGGAAACTAAAAAGTTAGTGAACTACAGAGAAATAAAATCAAAGAAAGAAATTATTTAGAAATTAATGAAATGGAAGACGTCATTAGACAGTAACAAAAAATATAAAGATTAATGTCTGAATATCATAAAGTGGATAATAACAAAGAGAATTTTGAGGACATTTGTGAAATCTAAGCATAGGGTAGCAGAGAAGAATCACAGAAGAAAGATGAAAAGCTTAAAGGAAGAAAGACGTAAGAAGAACAAGATGATTTTAAAACTTCTGAAACTACATGATTAGTGGAAAACTGGAAATACATAAGATTATCATCGTGCATTTCCAAATTACAGATAAAGACGGAATACTATGTCAAATTTAATTTGAGAAAATCAAATTCTTTCAAGTGTGAAACAACTAGTATGAATTACCTAATCCAAGTCTCAGTATGCGATAATTATAGCATCCGAAGAGTATGAAGACAAGATTTACAAGAACGAAACGAACAAAATCAGTAAATGCAAATAGGAAACTTTCCAGTTCACATGAACGAAAATGTAATATGGCATCCAATCAGAATAAGATCTTAAATTATGAAGTACTTCAAAAAGAAAGAAAAGGGCTTTAAATATAATAAAGGTACACGGAATATACTTGAACAGACAATACAAACATCATATGAAATATTTCTAAAAAATATCAATACTGGAAACACAAAAAACATCACACTTTTTTATTAGATAATTATGTAATGATTGGTTCTTTCAAAATAATGGAAACTTCTATTACATTCCACAGATGGTGAAAAAGAAAACACATATTCACGGTAATACTACCTCTGCACCAGCGAACTTATCAGACGAGCCTAGTTTCCCACAGACAAAACACTGGTGTTGTTTATACTTGCAATTTTTGCATAAAAAGGATTGCATGGCCTGCATAGAACCAAGTTTACAGTACAAAGATGAGACTGCATGGTAAAATTGATTATGCAATTCCAAATGTTACATAGTACTATTTCATTCCCCATAATATACCTGAACTTGGGCCCTTGATAAGCCAAGAGATTTACAATCTGTATCTTCGCCGTCCTCTTTCGTTGCATGGAAGGATCTCATGCATCGCCCCTCACAACTGTCGTAGACATATAATTATGCCAGTAAAACAACGGAAATCAAAAAGGAAATGATCCAGTATAGGACCAAAATTCAGTTAAGAGCGCATGAAGGTTAAAATTTGCCAGGGTAAATCATGTTAATGTTTGAAGACATAAATACACCATGTGCACCCATGAGAATGTGGTCCCCTGTAAATAAGTGGATGAGAATGAGTCACCCCACTACCAAGCACCAATTTTGTGCTTGGTACCAAATTTTGTGATTGGTACCAAAGATACCCATTTTGCAAAATTGGCTGGCAACCCACTCCGATGTGAGCTCCACACCAATGTGACTATAAGGGGGATGGCATAAGCTTGGCAGCCCATTTTGCAAAATGGGTTGTCAGCTCATATACATTTTTTCAAGGATACTTAATTCATCACTACTTCAGATTGTTAGTTATAATGTTTACACCCAACCTATGTGAAGCTACAATAAATATCAGTGTCTCCTGATCGTCAGCCCTCTCATTGATATGATAAGCTCCATCATTGCTTTCATCTGAAAACAACTCTCTCAAGATGTGGACTAACTCTTCTCTGATAACTTTGTCATTCTTTATACCATTTGGACTGTAAGTGAAGAACTTTAGTCGCACGCTAATTTGCACTATGACACTATCACGAGATATGTGAAGTTGACCACTTGATAAGATAAACACTTCGAAATTTCATCTCCGGGTGTGCAGACGAATGTGTAGTGCTGATTAGTGAACCTGAGGCTATCAGTAAGAAAAGAATCAGCACACAAACAGAACATACCACAAAATTTCCCCACCATTGTCACAAATGGCACAAACTGAATCAAATATTTCTTCCTCCTCAGATTCGTCTCCATCATCATTTCCCATATCCTCCTCAAGGTCATTGTCAACAATAAATGATTTCTTTGAATCTGAATCACTTTGAAGGTCCTGCTAAAACAGTATTTCAATAGCAGATGCTTTAAAAAAACCACGAAAGACGTGATATATTTATCTAAATTATCTGAGAATAAAACAGAACTAACCACACCAAGAGTTTTCTTCCTCGGTCTCTCCTTAAGTAACATCTGTAATACCTGTTCATTGAAACACTATAAGATAGATAACCTTAAAAATAACTCAATCAAATAAAGCATGGAATTCAATGCCCTATGGATCTAAATGCTTATAAGAAAATATATCTCCAACTGGAGGTCAAAAGCAGAAGACCACAAGATGTATTTAGAGTATAAGAAAATAAAAGCACAAATGATGTCCACAGAATCATTTCTAGATTTCATTAATCAGGCCGAATTTCATAAATAACCCACTAATATCCAAGTAATTTGACTATTCCTTTTTAAGAGTCTTTTTCTGACAAAATATAAGATTATGAGTGTCGTAAGACAATTTTTATGTGTCTCCATTAGCAAACGCATAAAAATATACGGAGCACTCCTAGAAAAAACTGGTCCTATATAGAAAAAAAGGTAGGAAATCAATGAAATTATAGCCCACGGTTTGCGCCACATAAGTGGCAAAGTCCAAAGCCGGAAATCTTTGCAAACAGATTCAAAACCCGATATAAGACCCGCCACTATACATAAGTAAAACTCAAACCATAACACTATTTCCCCCCAAATATGATTCCAATCTCTCTTCAGAATCCCACACAGATGAGGAATTTCCATTCAACAGAATGGCAAAGGCAGCTATGAGCAAAGGCAGCTATAGTAATCAACAGGGAGCACAAGTGACCCTGTGACATACCGACAGCATGACGATTATTAATGATGTATATGTGTTCAGTTTTCTTTCAAATTCTTTCCTTTTTTCAGTCAATTCTTTCCAACTGTTTTCAAATTTCTTGTCGTCATTGTTGATCAAGCAAGTTTGCAGTGCTGATGTTGCTATTCTTCTCTATATGCCTCTAAAGGATATGTTTTTGAGTTATAGTTACTCGAGTCTTTCATTAGTATATATTCCAATAAATATATAATATGTGCGTGTAAGATATTATAAATTCAAATCCGTGTAACTTGCATAATCTGTTTAAGCATCAGATAATCTGTTTATGCATTGCGCTCCGGGACAAAGCATATATTGAAACAGTGTTTTAGAACAATGCAAATTAAACTCAACAGATGATGTACATCCGGAACTGATACACAGATGATAAAATTAAAATAACACAAACATAATAGCACAGAGATCATCTCTTTGATGTGAAAAAGATCCATGATGGAAGTAATCATGCTTGTAGGGACGTTGTTCCTTTTGATGCCTCTCCATGAACAGAGCAGGAGTAAACTTTCATTTGTATGAGTTGGTTCAGTATATTGGTCCCATGATACATTAGTTGTCCACATTTAGGAGTAAACTTTCATTTGTATGAGTTGGTTCAGTATATTGGTCCCATGATACATTAGTTGTCCACATTTCAAGCTCCTACACAATGACAGAAACTTGATTCAGTATATTGGTCCCATGATACATTAGTTGTCCACATTTCAAGCTCCTACACAATGACAGAAACTTGAGGGAGATGCCAAATTTGCTTTCAATATTATCTGGAACACCTCATGTATGCTAACTTAAAGAGCGAGTTTGAGTAAGAAAACGACTGTTTAGGGCAGATCACTGCAGAATAAGGATGATGCAAGAAAAGAAATTAAGGATTAATTTTGCCCGTAATAGAAACAAGTAATTAGATGACTAGTGAGCTTTGTCACAGTGAGAGGCTTATCAATATCAATCATTTCTCCATTATAAATCTCTATAAGTTAAATGTGCCCTCATCTCCTCTAGTTTCCTACTATCTTTTTCCGACCTCAGATAATAAATTAGTTGTCCACATTCGAAGGTCCTACACAATGACAGAAACTTGAGGAAGATGCGAAATTTGCTTTGGATGTTAACTGGAACACCTTGTGAATGCTAACTTAAAGAGAGAGCTTGAGTAAGAAAACAATTGTTTAGGGCAGATCACTTCAGAAAAAGGATGATGCAAGAAATTAAGGAGATCACGGTTAATTTTGCCCATAATAGAAACAAGTTTTTAGATAACTAGTCAGCTTTGTCACAGTGAGAGGCTTATCAATATCAATCATTTCTCTATTATAAATCTCAATAAGTTAAATGTGCCCACATCTCCTCTAGTTTCCTCCTAACTTTTTCCAACCTCAGATTATCACATATTTCCTAAAGTGTGTTGCACAATGAAAAATCAATCTTAAAGCGCTAGACAAAGTTCTAAACAATTATTGAGCGATTCCTCATAAAAAAATTTAGCATAGTTATCTGATGACAGATCTCCTGTAGACAGTTTATCACTCTCAGAGACTTATCAAAGTTCTACCTCTTCTACATTTTCAAAACAAAGAAAATAACTTAAGTCTTCAATCGCTTCTTATAGTTCAAAAAAAGTGGAAATTTCTACCTCTTCTACATTTTCAAACAAAGAAAATAAGTCGGAGCATGTCTAGCAACCAGGTCAAAATGGATTATAACCCATTTTTGCATATTAGGTAGCATGGATTATTTTGGATTATAATCCACCAAAAAATAATCCAGGATACCTCAATTATTATTTTTTTAGTTGATTATACACCAAATCCTAGGTTATTTTTCTGGTGGATACTGACTTATAGTCCACATGTGTGACCAAGTAGAAAACAAAAATGCCCCTCACGTTTTACATCTCATTCTTTTCCCTTCTCCCTCCTCCCGCTTTTAAGCGTTATTTTTTCATTTTAGTAAAAGGCATATGGGTTATAAACCACCCTCTTCACCAAACACCTAAAAAATATAATCCACTTGGATTATAATTCACAAATGGATTATAATCCAATCTGAAATTCCCAAACATGCGCTTAGTATTTAATCTCATGGTTTAAAAAAGTTGGAACTACAAGCAAAGCTGTTGATTCTGGGCAACACATCTACTACAAAGAAATCACTTGAAGTTCCTATGGAAGTTTACAGATTTAAACAAGAATGAGCTCATGTTGGTTATACATTATTAGGAAACATAAGTGGTTTCTCAAAAAATCGATATAAAGAATGGAGTGTGTTGTTGGACTCCTTAATAAATCCATATTTTACAAAAATCTCTAAGGGGAAAAACAAAACGCACATAACAAAAACATTTCTGAGCTTACATTAATGTGAAGCACAGAAGCGGGTTTTGATAAGCTCCACATTTTAGAATCGTTATGTTGTGATATTTATATACAAAAGAAGATTTCTGATTCCTATAGTACACAATTACTATCAATTTGGATTAGCTTTTCAGTACCCAGAAATTTCACTATCATGTTGCATAAATTTGTCACTGTGACAAAGATACTAATTGAGACAGAGCATAAACTCAAGCAAAAAGAACAAAGTTAAACAACCAAAAAGAACAAATTTGTGTAATGACAGTTTGAGAGGAAAAAACGTGGGTATTGTTACAGAGGATAGCACGCATTTCTGTAACTCATAGCTTCGTAGATGTTAATAGAAATCAAACTTTTCCTAGCTCAGATTTCAGTGCTCTGGCAGGTCAGTCAATCGTGTTCAGATATAACGTGCACTGACAGAATTCAGCTACAACAATTTAAACAAGAGCATCATATCTACTTACTTGGAAATCACAAAACCAAATAGAGAAGGATTATTTGTCAATCAACTGGACATCTAAGAGACTCTATAAATTAAAACTCCAAACCTTTAACATCATAGTTATCACTCCTCGTGAGGTGTAACTCACAGATTCACCAAACTAGCCTTTACATAATTCTCCTAGAGCTAACACCAAATTCAACCCTTTAAGTAACCATCCAAAACCAAACCAAGTAGCTGCCTCTATCACAGAACGTGCCAATCCACAGATATCAACAAGTTATAGCTTGTAAGCACTACGCCACTACGTCCACAGGATTTTGTTACATAAAATAAATATTGATTGTATTAGGTATGACGGCTCCAAACACGCACTGTGCAATATATAGTATAGGATTAAGATGCCAATAATGACATGAGAAAGATCCAAAAATGTTCTCAAGAACATTTAGAAAGAGAGATCCATATATGTTGTTGAGTTGTTCAGACCTGAGATTTTGCCAATGCAGCATCCCTCTCTACAAGCAGCTTAATTTCTGGATAATGATCTAGGAGGTCATTGACAGAAGGCCGATCCTCAAATGAACTGCAACATAGCAAAAGTTTATCATCGAAAACTTAGTACTGAGAACATAAAGGAAGATACAAGTGCAAACCACCTGAAAATTTTTCCCAAGTGATCCCAAAGGCTCTTCTCCGACGACTCGGGTTTCCTCCTCAGAAAATGAAGCAGCTGGGCAGTGATCAAAATGGTTCTAATGGATGCTTCATAGCTCTTCCTCGGTTTCAAAAGCTTAATCCATCTGTTATCCTTCGTAAGCACCGTCAGTTCAGGCTGTGCATCTTCGAGTCCGAGCTTCCATGCAACGACCTGCTTATAGATTTTTTGAAGCCCCTCATCTCCAGTTCCATGTAAGAATACCTGTCCTTTAGAAGCGTTTGGCTTCTCTTCGCCATCGAACATGATGGACAAGGTTGCAAATGAGATGGGTGCTTCCTCTGCATCTACAAAATAATAGTTTGTCACCGATTGTGGCACGAGCTCCTCCTCATCATCCGAAGACGCCATCATTTGCCTGTGCAAGAAGGCCACCGCAAGCTTATTTACTATAGTGATTAATATTCTAAAAACCAACGAATTAGAAACAATAATGTCAGTGGAATCAAAATCAAGTGCAGACTCCAGAGAAGGAATTTCCCCAAAATCCCAGCTCTAAAGAAAACAAATTTATAACCACCAAGTCAGGGTAACTCCTTCTAAAGTGACAAAAAATCGCAAATCAAAGAAGCTGATGTGCCCTAATTTTCGACGGTGGGTAAATTACCCGAATATAAAAAAATAAAATCATAAAAAACGAGAAAATTAGAAAAAAAACTCAAACCTTTACGAATTAAACGAGATCGAAGCAAAGGGGAAACCTTGAACAAGAACAAGAAATCGCTGTAAATGAAGAGAGGAACTGGTTTCGCTGAACAAGGGATAACTCTATAAAAAAATCCCCCATTTTTTTGGGAGCTGGGCTCGAAATTTTAGAGAGAGTTTGTGGGAGTAACCGGAAAAGTATCGGGGAGAGGAAGCGCTTCAATTTGGGCTTTTCAAACCGAGATTCGCAAGAGTAAAACTTTACAAAATCAGGAAAAAAATAATTCATGAAGATAAATACTGTTGAATGGGAGGAGGAGGATGATAACAACGGCACGTCCTCCCTCGATAGCACTTATTCCTCAGAGAATCAGCACAAGCAATCAACTTATCCACAATCGAAGTAAACCCTAAAAAATCAAATTAAACAAGAGAAAAGATATCAAATTACTTGACGACGGCGACGGCGGAGTGAGGGTGAGAGAACTTGCAGTCGGTCTCGGATCGCTTGCAAGAGTTTCGAGTGAACTCTTTGCAGACCTCGACGGCGAGATCACTGACGCGGCGGCGCTTAGAGGAGGCTTGTTCGCTGTCGGAGGAGGAGTTTGGCGTTTGAGATCGCTCTCGCTCGCGCTTGCGAGGAGCGATAGGGTTTCGGAGAGAGAGGAATCGCAGAGAGAGGGGAGAGGAGATTTCTATCTGTTGGTTTTTGGGTGGGTTATGGGTCGGCCAAAACCCGCTCATTTAATACCCATTTAATTTTTATAGAAATAGTTACCCATCTAGTTAGGCCTATTTCACTAAAGGGTGACACTAGGAGTACACTCCTAACCACACCTCCAACCACACTCCCTCTCTCATTAGCTACAGTGCACCGGACCCCACATAGAATTTTAAATTTTTAAAATCTCATATGGGGGCCCGGTGCACTGTAGCAAATGAGAGAGGGGGTGTGGTTGGAGGTGTGGTTGGGGGTGTGCCCCTATCATTTTCCTTCATTAAATGGATTTATTTGAGTGGTCTCATATTAGATGGATCTGGGTGGGTTATTGGGTTTGAATCAGAATTGTCATACTTATTCGGGTCGGAACTGATAACGAAGTTAATATAACAGTGGGCGGATCCATACCTGATAGCCTGAAAAAGAAAGGTGGTTTCTTTTTCTTTCTTTTAAAGGTTTGTTTGGATGTTTTTGGAAATGTTGATGATTTATGACACAAAACATGAAAAGTGAATTGTATAGTGGCTATTGAATTGAGTGCTTCTTTGTTTAGTTTGGAAAAAGGAAAATTTTTATTTTTATTTTATTAAAATTCTCTCACTTTTGAGGGGCTCTTGAAATGTTGATGATTTATGACACAAAACATGAAAAGTGAATTGTATAGTAGCTATTGAATTAAGCGCTTTTTTGTTTAGTTTGGAAAAAGAAAAAAAAAATTTTTTTTATTAAAATTCTCTCACTTTTGAGGGGCTCTTATTAAGGAGTTTTGAGTGTTACATCTCATGTTTCAATTAGAAGAAATAAATGTTGATAAAGTTAGTGGTAGGACTGTGCAAGGGGACGGTCTATTCCATTCTTGGCCAAATTTTGGCAAACCGAATCAAACCGCTTATCACTCAAAACTAAACTGTTATATCGAAATTTAATTTTTGCCTCTAATCTGTTAATCAAGAAAGAAGTCTCATTCACTTCAGTTTATTAAAATTCATGAAGTATCAAATGTTGTTGCATATTAGATGAAGAAATCAAAATCTTATTCTTGCCAAAGCTTAAATAAAGAATTAAACTGAGCTCAATTAGACAAAGAAAGTAAATCAAAAAACATGCAATTATGTGGATGTTTGGCATAGCTTCTGCAAAATTAAAAGTCTGATACAAAGATCTTCTTTGCATTATGAGTATCAATGGGGAAGAAAATCAACAAAAGCTTGCATAATATCAACATTAAGGTTTAAGTTTCTTGCCTCCGAAGTAGATCGGTCCAAAGTAGAAGGAAACGAATATAGAAATAGAGGTAGAGATGATGAGACGCGCTAGAATTGAAGCGACTCTACATGAACTATGATGGGTCGGGATTAAGCAGGTTCAGATATTAATTACAAATGTTATTCATATCAATGAGTTTTATTGTAATACAATTCTCGGGCAGTTCAGGTTGAAAATTTTCTACCTGAATTTCTACCTGACCTGACTCGAGCTCTAGTCAAAACCAAATCGAACTGTCAAATTTCAGCTAGTTCGGTCTGTTTGTTCGGTTTGAACTAAACTATGCTCACCCCTAGTTAGGGGTGAACCATGCAATGTTGTAAGTTTTCAAATTTTCACATCAATTGAATGGGACAAAAAAAGATGTTAAATGTAGGGTGATATTAGCCCCTTAAAATTTTCAACAATCATCGAAATTGCTATTTAGATTCACCAATTTTCATCAGATGTTTCAACTTATTTCCTAGGATCAAGTAGCGGTAGTACGATATAAGAGTTAGCGGACCAAATAGAAATTTCATGCTTGTAGAAACTAATTTGAAAATACTGAGATTTGCAAAACTAATATAGAAAACCCCTTTTATGTTAATACTTGCTTACATATAATTTAGTGTTTTAGATATCACAAATATAGACTTAGATTTTGAGAATTTATTTAAGTTCAAAATTCATATCAATGTTGAAGTTATAAACGATCTCTTCTTCACAGTTTTTGCACGAAGTACGGCAACCTAGGGGGATGCGGTGCAGAGCGCCCCAAAGTTCAAGGGGGTTCGATGAGATCCATCGACACAAGAGAATTACAACCATGCTTCGGTGTAACTAATTTATTTCTCTCCCTAAAACAACATGACCTCGCTCCTAACACTTTCATTCATAACATAAGCCTAGCAATATTTCATTTTCATGTGAGACTTGTGATGGAGCAAGGTGTTGTGCTCTGATACCACTTGTTGCGCGTCGTACGGAAGCGTGCTCGACAACCAAACGAGTCGATGAGCGATGAGAGAAGAAAACAAAAACCAAACACGAGTGTAATTCACAAAATAACGACCAAAATCACACACGAACACAGGAATTTACGTGGTTCGGCAATCGCCTATGTCCACGGGGAGAGGATGAGGAGATTTCACTATATGGAGGAGAAATACAACGGGTTACAACTCACAAAATCACTCAAATATAATCCTAACCAAAGCTCTCAACTCCCTCACAATATCTCCCTATCAAATTGCTCAAAACAATGCTAATTCTCTCCTTAAGAAACCCTAAAAACTAAAAACGTTGTTCTATTTATAATAAAACACAATCCCAAATAGATTAGGATTCTAAAAACGAGTCCGCCACACCCTGGTGTGACACACACCACACCCATGACAAACAGGGCAGATTCTGCCACACCAGGGTGTGGCAGATACCACACCCATGACAAACAGGACAGATTCTACCAAACCACACCAGGGTGTGGTGGAGTCTGTTTTGCTTATTCTTCACGTTTTTCTCAATTCCTTCGCCGTTTTCACACAAGGTTCATCATACAGAAGATAAAGAATAGGTTAAGCCGCAACATCACAAATCGAAGGAAGATACTACAGGCATTCTGATACAAAAGTTTAGACCTATAACAAATTTATTTTTATACGTTGCCCACAGAAGCAAATGATATTCAAATTATCTCTTGAACAAGAGACGATATGAAGATATCAGAAATCCAGAACATAACACCAATACCTTAATAATATTTAAAAAGATAGAGCGGAAAATTACAGCGAATCATATCAGCATCGTATAACATCCACATTGTAACATTCACATTTGAAAAGGTAACTACACGTGTCCAAAGTTGGCGTTACAATGGCACCAACTTCCTTCCTTTTAATTAATCATGATGAAATACTCGGATAATGTCAAAATATTCAACATAAGACATAAGCATGAAATCCTAAAATTCTCTTGCTTGCTCTTAGTGACGCTCCTAGGCGTCAAAGGAAAATATTGACAAGGTATCAAAGGAGACAGTATTGACAGGAGGTGCTATCATAAAACCAAATGCGGTCAGTAAATACCATATTAAGCTCCGTGCATAGCAATACAAGTTTTTGCTAATATTTCATGCAAGCCTTAATCTTTTACAATTGTAATTTGATCAAAAAAGAAAATTTCAGGTGCCAATATTGTTATATATTCATTTCTTCAGTTACCCAAATTCAGAATTTCTCACTCAAGAAGTACAAGAAAAAGATAATAAAGCAAACACCGATAACTAATAAAGCGTTTAGTTCAGTTCCCTCTGTAGTTCTTCAATTGCTCACTCCGAGAACATCTTGAAAATGAAAAGTTTGTTGACATTAAAAAAGAAATAGATTTACAAAGATATGAATGCAGCGTGGGAATAAATTAGGAATTTGCATGGGAATAATATCGATTACAATATTAACATTTGAACATTAGAGCTATGCGTCAGTTCAAAAAAAAAAACATTAGAGCTATGCGAGAGCTCGAATACACAGAAATAGGACCTTATTCCCCCAGGTACAAATTAGTTGGGCAAACACTCACTTTAGACTAAAAACACAAATTCAACAATCACCCCCGCAAAAACTTCATAAATAGTTTGACATGTTAAAGGAAGGGAAAAAACAGAGAGACAAGCGCCATAAAAATAACATAATCACAAGAAGAACCACACTTTCTGCCAGATGAATGTATATGGAAGTATATAGCTATACTGAATACTCATATATAGATGATAATGCAATCTATTCCTCTAACTAAAAGTGCGGTTAACAGCAAAACACAAAGGTTTGGGGGCAAAGAAACTACTTTAGCAGTCAAACTTAACAACACAAAACTATATAGGTTTTTTAAGATCTACTATTTTACTCCAATTTAACTGTTCATACGCAGAACCTTCCCTTTATTTTTTTGGCATTCACAGCCTAGTTCCCTTCAGGAATTTCTGGAAATATTATGTGATTTCTTCTAGGAGTTCCAAGGTTTGCATCAATCTCATGTCTCCTGTCCATCAAAAAGAAGCAACAAATTTAGAGCAACAAGTGAATTTAAATGTTGGACACAAACGGTAAGCAAAGTAATGAGACGAATTCAAAAGTGCAGAACATACAAGCAATATATCAAGATGCGCTCAGGAATCAGAGACTCCCATGCTCTTTGTATAACTCCTTCCTGTGCACCGTCAAGGACAATTTCCCTGAGCATTATCACACACAATAACAGAGGATACACGTTAGGAAAATGCTAAATATATACTATAAGAGTTGTTTGTACTACTCCAGTACAACTAGACATAATAGGTATGATTCATAAGAACTCAAAATTTCCCTTTGCAATTTACAGAAGAGGTTACCACCTTGTGTCCAATAGTACAACTATCACTATCCAATGAGTTACACATAAAAATCAAATGAGAGAAAAATGATTGGTAAAGGCTTTGAAATTACCCAGGCAAACACTACCTGTGACTCTCATCGCCATTTACAAAAGAGGTTACCACTTTTTGTGTCCAATAGTACAACTATAACTATACAAAGTGTTACACATAAAAATCAAATGAGAGAAAAATGATTGATAAAGGCTTTGAAATTACCCAGGCAAACACTGCCTGTGATATGACATAGGGCAACGCCGGCACACTGCAAACTGCAACTCGGGGACCTCTTTGTTTTCTTCTTGGTTACAAACATGACATTTATGAGCAGGGCATGTAAATGATTCCCCATCAGCAATCATTAACTCACACTCTGTTGCTTCCATTTCATTCTCCGGGAACAGTAGGTCAGCTACACATTTTGGGTGGTAGAAGTGACCACAAGTTGCATCAACGCAGGGGAAGACCTAAAAATTCTCCTTAAAATTTAGGCATGTCGATGAAAAGGTATAATTGAAAAAGATAGAAAGTAAATAAGTTGATAAAATGCTGATAAAAAATAAGGTATGAATATATAAAGTAGCTATTAACAAAGAGGCTTTTGACGACATTTGAGTAATACTATACCTGTGCACCAGCCAACATATCAGAGGAGCCTAGACTCCCACAGACAAAACACTGATGTTGATTATACTCACAATTTTTGCACAAAAAGGTGTCAATGGCCTACATAGAACCAAGTTTACAGTACAGAGATGAGACTGCAAGGAAATATTGATCGTGCAATGGGAACTGTCACATAGTATTATTTCATTCCCCATAGAATACCTGAATTTGAGCTTCGGATAAGCCAAGAGAGTTACAACCTGTTTCTATGCCATCTACTATGGTTGCATGGAAGGATCTCCTGCATCTCCCCTCACAACTGCAGTAAAAATATAATTATGTCGACACGATGGAAATATAAAAAAAGAATACCCAGTACAGTCTGCCAAATTCGTATGTTAAAAGAGCACAAAGGTTAATATTTTGCGTGTAGATGCGTTTAATACTTTAAGACATAAATACACCCTAAGGATGGAAAAGTCAAGCAGTAAAATAATGCACTGCATTCTTTTAGCTGATAATAGATGCCTATATTGCTTTATAAGGGTCTAGATAGTATAAATTAATAGAGGTGTCAATCAGGAAGTAGACAGTGTGGAAAATCTTCCTTCTGTGCCACTGGTCAACTTCCCTCCTCTTATATATTTACCCATATTCTTAACTAGATCCAATAAAAACCTCAAATTTTAACCTTTCATCTCAACATGAAATAGTGACCTATCGGCTTATAAATGTGGGCTTTCATTTCTCTGAATGCAGCAGATGCATCTTCCCTACTTATCACCCTGCTAAATCTGGATACTGCAACAACCAAACCCTTTAAACATATCTTTTGAAAGCACAAGGAACCTAGTATTATAGCTAGGAATGCTAAAGGATATGGGCATTCATGTATATGTATCTATACCTCTATCCATCTCTATCCAACAAGACGCACACACGGATACGCACACACAGAGTCACACACGCCCATAGAAAGTGGATACTGATATGGATATATTTTTAAACTTTTGTATACGGTATAAGTAAAACATCTAGACTCATACACTGATATCCGAAGATGTTGAAATTGTTTTGAAAATTATAGTAGATATGAGACCAATTTTGAGGACCCAGAGATCCAACCTTAGTTTTTTTTAGATATGTTCACATGATGGGCTCTGACATGAGAAATTTTGTTGTTTAAGTAGCCGTTGTATCGCATAACTTGACCTTTTCAATCCTATCCATTTTTCTCGTATCCTATTCCTCTATACATATATATGATTCTTGTGGATCCATATCCTATTCAAGTTTGTTGGGTATGGACAACGGGGTTTCCTTACAGAAACATGTAGGCATTCCTTATACCATTCAAACCGTGAAAGAACATTAGGTGCCCACTACTTCGCACTACCGACTCTAGTTGAGATACATGAGTTTGAACAGTTAAGGAAACTAGCAAATGCATATAAACTAACACAACAAACATCATTTTGAACTATCATGTCTGAGTTTGCGCACGCACGTCCCATTAGGAGCCACGAGCGAGAAAGAATCAACAGGCAAACAGAGCATACCGCACGATTCGACCGCCGTCGTCACAAATGGCACAAATTGGATCAGCATCGCTCTCCAAATCATCAACATTGTTCTCCGTATCATCTACGTAATAAATGTCCGTCACGGATTGTGGGTCCTGCACCTCCTCGTCGCTTGAAGACGCCATGATTTAACTGTGGAAAGAGGGGTGAAAGAACTCAACTATATTGGAAAACAGGCGTAAAAGAAGCCTAATCAAATCAAAGCTCACGCTTTTGTGCTGCAAAGTGTACGTGTAAAATTTCAGTGGGTAAAATGCTCAAATCCATGTATGATCCCAAACTTATGCGGAAAGAATACATTTTTAACTATTTGAAGGAGCTCCGACTAAAACAATCTTCTGGAATAAAAAGTTCATTAAAATCGGAGAAAATTAGAAAACAGTTCAAACCTATACGAACTGAGATGGAAGCAAAAAAATCCAAGGCAAAAAGGAGGTTAATTTGGTTAGAAATAACAGAGAATTTAAAAAAAAACCTAATGTTGGGGGTTGGATTAAGAGAGAACCTTCAAGGTAAATTCGCTGGAGGGACGAAAGTTACTTCAGTTTTGGGTTTCTGGAGAGCGTCAGCGTGTTTAAATAAATAGGGCCCCGGAGAATTAATAGCAAGCACCTAACCCGCTACAGTAACTTAGGGGCCCCGCCCCTAACACACCCCCAACCACACCCTCTAACACACCACCAACCACACCCCCCTCTCCCATTGCTACAGTAAACCAGCTGGCCCCACATGGGATTTTAAAAATTTTAAAATCCCATGTGAGGTCCGGTTTACTGTAGCGATGAGAGAAGGGGGTGTGGTTGGTGGTGTGGTAGGGGGTGTGCTCCTAACACCACTCTTCAGATAAAGAGGGTTCTATACTCTAATATTCTTCAATAGGGTTTTTTTTTGTTAAATAATTAGTAAAAAATTATTACTACAGTGACCCAAAAAAGCTTTGCTACAGGGACCTAAACTATGGAACCAACAGGGGGGACAAGTGAGGTGTCTCCCTCCTGTTGGTCATCATTAATGATGGTCAACTCATTATCCAATAGGAGGGGGACATTTCACTTGTCCCCTCTATTGGTCCCATATTTTGGGTCCTTGGGAAATTTTTCGACCCAAAAATAGGGGGACATGTGATGTGTCAGCCCCCAGGAGCTGACACATCACATGTCCCCCTATTTTGGGGTTTCTGAGGGAACAATTTTTCAAAACAGGCCCATTTAGTTTTTTATTTTTTAAAATCTACCGATTTTTCTTTTATTTATCAAAACCGACCCGATTTTGTGATTAGCAGGCTAATTATCATCCTAAATAGTCGGGGTTGCCAACCCCGACTATTTAGGATAGTGTTAAACCCTAATTAAAGGCCTTAAACCCTAAAAATTAATGTCCTAAATAGTCGGGGTTGGCAACCCCGACTATTTAGGATAGTAATTAAACCGTTAATCACAAAATCGGGTCGGTTTTGATAAATAAAAGAAAAAACAGTCGATTTTGAAAAATAAAAATCTAAATGAGGCTGTTTTGAAAATTTGTTCTTTCTGAGGAGTTTTCCTTAGCAAAATTGTCTGTTTTACTAATTATTTAACAAAAATGTTTTTTTTTTAATTCTTTATTTATTTATGATCCCAGCTCGTCCTTACCTCTTAAACTATTAGATTTATCTTTGCTTATCTCTGAACTATTTTTAGCGTTTTTATACCCACTGAAGTATTGAATTTGTTGCCTTTTTATGCCTTAAACTATTTTGGTCCAAGATATTCACTGAGCCACTAAAACTATTTTGGTCCAAGATTATTCACTGAGCCACTACTTTTTCTCTTGTAATTTTATTGAAAATACCTACTGAATAATGTCAAGAAAACCCCCTTCAACTTTTAATTTTTGTCAAAAAGACCCCTAAAATATAAACCACGGTTTTCATTGGCAGAAAATATCTCATTATCTAATTTTACTCACTCATGTAAAATATGCAGTTAACAACATTGAGGGACTCTTTTGTGTGATGTTGAAAGTTAAAGGGGTTTCTGATAACCCCAACCTATTTGGAAATTTAATCTCATAAAACAACGTCTTTCAAACTTAATTGCAAAAACCGACCTGGTTTCAGCCTTGGCGCTGAAACCCGCTGAAACCAGGTCGGTTTTTGTGAAAATACTTCGGAAACTTCACGGGAGTTGAACTCCCGTGAAGTTTAGCAAAAATGCTAAACTTCACTCAAGTTTCGCAGTTCAAAAAAAAAATTGAACTACGAAACTTCACGAGAGTTCAACTCCCGTGAAGTTTAGCAGTTTTACTAAACTTCACGGGAGTTCAACTCCCGTGAAGTTTCGGATAAATTTTTTTAAAAACCGACCTGGTTTCAGCTTCAGGGTTGAAACCAGGTCGGTTTGTGAAATTTTTTGCAAAAACGATCATTTTTTGAAAATAAATAGTAAAAGAGGTTGGTTTTGAAAATTTGTCCTATCCTAAAATTATAGGAGTTGAATCAAACCAACCCCTTATTTGATCTATACCCGTATTTATGAGGAAGAAAGAGGAAGTTCAAAACGTTACATACGCTGGGAAGCGTGTAGCTCCATAACCGATGTTGGGACTGTTGCAATAATGGCCATGGTAGTATAGTTACGAGGTCGTTTGAGTCGGTCAAAATACCCAAATAATTATGTCTATTTTATTGTTTTAGTACGCAAAACTTCTAAATTTCTAATTAGTAATTTGGTGGCGGTTGCTTCTATTTTCTAACGTCAAAGAGAATCTCAACAGTTGCCCGTTGTTTTTTGCATATCAACGCTATAGATAGGGCTGTCCAAAACAGCCCGCGCCCGGCCCGGAGCCCGGAAACCCGGGCCAAGTCCGGCTTCGGACCGGGTCCGGACCGGCTCTTTACGCTGGTCTGGCCGGGTCTGGATTAATTTTTTATTTTTTAATGTATATATTATATGTATAATATATGTATATATATATATATAATATGTATAATATATGTATTATAATATATTTTATATATGTATATTATATAATATATTCTATTATGTATAATATGTCTATGATTGTGTGTATATATACTCTCTCTAGTATATAAGTATATATATAAGTATACTCTTTATATAAGTAATATATATAAGTATATATAGTATATTTCTCTAAAAAAATATATATATAAAGTATATATATAGAATACTCTCTCTTATATATGTATAATTGTATGTATGTAGTGTATATATACTCTCTCTCTTAGTATATAATGTATGTATAAGTATACTCTCTCTTATATAGAGTATATATAAGTATACACTCTCTTATATATGTATAATATATGTGTATATATATATCATATATATATATATATATATATATATATATATTAGGAGAGAGAGAGAGAACGGAAGCAGCGTAGGAAATTTCCTACCTGGCAAGTGTATGACATGTGAGCCCACACACCGATCGTGATAGTAGGGGCTCACTATGTCATACCACTTGCAGCGTAGAAATTCCTACGCTGCCAGCTCACTCCCGTTTTCCATCATATATATATATATATATATATATATATATATATAATATATATATATATATATATATATATATATATACTCTCTCTCTCTCTTAGGTTATATGTATATATAAGTATAGCTCTCCTCTTATATATGTGTGTGTATATACTCTCTCTCTTAGTATATAAGTATATATAAGTATAGTATATTACAACAGCTACTTCTTCCCCATTGGCCCAACGGGCAACGGCTACTTATGCGATTCTCTCTCTCTCAAATTATAACTTATAAATATATACAATATATTTACATAGAATATATGTATATATAACATATATATAGTTACATAATAATTTGGAAGTATATACTAATACATAATTATATAAAATATAATAATAATAAACTAATTTTTAGCATTTTTTTATCAAAAGAAAAAAGAAAGAAAAGAAATTTAAAAAACCTAGTTGGGATGTACTTATCTATTGTGATGCGATAAATTTTAAAATAAATTTATACTTGTAATTTATAAATGATTTATTAATTATTAATAAAGAATTTATTTTTATAATTTTTTATTTGTAATTTATGTTATTTTAAGTGATTAATAAAATTATTGTTTTTTATTATTTTTTGTCTTTTTTTATAATTTAAATTTAAATAAAATTTAAAAAAATTGATAAAAAATTTAAAAAAAGAAAAAAAACCTGGCCGGCCCGGGTACCTGGATCCGGGCTCCGGTTTTGCCCGGCCCGGGCCCGGATTTCCGGGCCGGGCCGGGCTGGCCCGGATGTACAGGCCTAGCTATAGACCAAATTAAACTCAGTGCATATCAACAGAAGATTTTGCTAATATCTTTTAACAATGGCACGATGCTATTATAAGACAGTGATGCTAGAGACAAGAGCTCTAACGCTTACATCATACACACACAGGCGAAGACAACAATAAATAAGTGATCCATAATGAAGACATACCCACAAGAGGAAAAGTATTCACTTGATTTATGCTATTATTAGAGATGAATGGTGTCATTTGGACCGCAATTGGTTAGCATTTGGCTCCAAATAAAGCTCTTGAAGCTCACGCATCTACTTTGTTTTTTCGTCGAGTCTCTCACTAAAACAGATAATGTGAGTGTTTTTATACCCGCATGGTCCCTTGTTGAGCTAACTTCGAAACGTGTTGTCTTGGGATAATGGAGAGAATTAGGACCATTTTTCAACTACCACAAAATGTTGGGACAATTAACTCAGTTGTGATCAGAAACAAAACATAGCAATCGCCATAAAAATACTCATAAACAGTTAACATGCCAAAAAGAAGGCAGATGAAGAATTATTATTATTATTATTATTTGAACAAATACATTTATTCACTCATTTGTCGAAACAATATAATCATACTCGTATATAGTTAACAATGCAAGCTACACATCTCACATTAGTCCAGTCTCAGAGCTACCGAGCAACTCTGATGAATCTTTCTCTCCATTTCTACAGTTGACGTTATATTCCGGCCAGTCTTTTCCAGCAAAAAATTCCGCATCTCAAGGTCCTCGAGGCATCAGTAGAGAATCCGCTCAGCAAAAGTTGAAATCCAGCGCAGTGTTTGATTCTCTTGTATAAGTTCTTCAGGTAAGTTGTTTGATGAATTGAAGAAGCTACCTCAGCTGCATAATCTAACGGTACATGCCACTGCTTGAGCCCAATATTTCAGCCTTGCTTTAACTTCCTCGGGATGGTCCCCTGTATATAAAAGTATCAGGTTAGAGACATGACGCTTCGATCATAAAGTTTCCTCAAGCACTGGTAAAAGTCTTCTCTCAGTTCACAGCAAACAGGAGAGACATAGGTCATAAAAGATACTAGTGAAAGATTAGGTGATTTCCCTTTTAGGCAAATTTAAAGCAATGCAACAATACGCATAGTACACTTTTGAAAAGTGGTATTGTTTAAAATTATGCCTTTGATCATTCAAGGTCAATTAAACCTTGATATAGCGGATAGCCGAAACAAAAGATGAAACCAATTAAATTGATGCTGAACCATAACTTGTAAGCGCGGATTCGATAGAGATGATTCATTTGGATAAGTTGTATAAGTAAGAGGGTAACTCTCTGAAAAGGGCATACAGCTTGTAGACAACCAGTAGGTCTAATACTGATGTTCTAGTTAACTATATAAAGGCAAAATCGCAAATTTCACGAGATGTTATATTGGTTATCAAGCTTTCTATCAACAACAACATGAAGGCAATATTTGGAGGTTCAAAATATATAAGTTGAAGATGTTTGGAACTGAGAAACATAAGTGATCAATCATTAAACAGGCTATGGCGACCTTTAATCGATAATAAAGAAGATCACAGGTTTAAGGGCAAAGTTAGATACAAGTTGTTGTCAAGCACCGTGGAATCCAACTTAAGCCAGTAACGTACAGGAGATAAAATTCCTCGGAGAACCATCTCTGCTCAATAATTCTTCTGCTACATAAAATAAAACCCACTAAAATTCTATCAAGGAATCAGAATATTGCTCCTCACACAGGGTAAAGTTTTCCAAGATGAAAGTAAGGAATTATTACAATCCGGCTTCAATTGGCAACAAGTGTCCCAAAAGCATAGTATATCATAGGCTAACAACAAATATGTTAATGGTTACAAACAAAATCCCTACTTTGCTCTTTACAAACACAAAATTAAAATGAAAAGAGAGAAAATAAGAAATAAAAACTCCTTAGCATAGATTAGCTGGTTTATTCTGGCAGAAATAATTCTTTTTTAACCGTTAGAAGTCAGACCAAATTGAAGCCAACAATTTTACAGTTTAAACAGAATTCAAAGAACTTCTTGATCCAATTAGTACTTTCAATATGAATGAAGCAGCAACAAGTTTAAATTTTTTTACTTTATTATCACATTTCAAAGTCTAAAATTATACAGTAACAAAAATCCTTCAGATCTCAACTAAAGCTTCTATACAGACTTCAATTGAGATCTACTGCGCTATAAGATGTCAAAAATGTTGCTTTTGAGAGAACTAGCTGTCAAACTTAACATGAGAGACTTTCTATTGCATAAAAAAAACTTTTTTTTAACTTCAAATTTCAATCCAAAACACTAAAAATAACAAAAAGATTCGAAATCTCACCGGGACTCGAGATCTTCCAATTAGCAATCGGAGCGCCGGAGCTCGTCTCCGCCGCCTCCTCATCCACCGCCGTCCGCTGCTGCTGCTCGTCCATATACCTCTGGCTTATCGAGTAACACAATTCTAGCGCCGGCAAAGTACTACAAAGCTCAGGGATCTCCTCGTAACTGAACCCAAACCCTAGATCCAGGCACCCCTTCAACTCCTCCAGATCCTCGTCGGTCAGGCTCTTCGTCCTCCCAACGACGGAATCTCCGCCGTCGGATCCCTGATCGCCGCCGCCGTCGGAGGTTTCCACGTATCCCTCCTGCTCCGCCGTGGCCACGGCGGTGATTCGAAGCCCTGTCCTTGAGAATGCAGCTTATGATTCTTTTTGGAGAAATTAGGGTTAGGGTTTGAGCTGGCGGAGATTTCTTCCATTGGATTTTTCCTTCTTTTTTTACTTTCCTTTTAGCTCTGGTTTTGGGGGTAGTTTCTCGTTGGAGGGGAAGGGGGGTTTTTATACGATAAAAGATGGAGAGAGAAGTGGGGACCATTGTATGTGAGAATGGGTGATGACATGGCATCACGAGCTATGTATGTATATGAAGGGTAAATTTCACATCACCCCCCGCGATTTGGGATGATCTGTTCAGAGCCCTCTAGAACTTCGAAAATTAATTGATATCCCCCTAAATGTCAGGGAATTTCACAAACCTGCTCTAGACTTTCAAAAAAAAAAAAAATCACCGCCTGAATTTTTTGGTAACCTTTGTTCTTGTTTTTATTCGGAAAAGGAATGGAGGAAAATGGGAAAATAAATGGAAGGTGCTCTGTTACGGTTCAGGACCATGATCCGCTTGGATTGTAATCCAAGTGGGCTATAATGTAGATGTCTTTAAATTAAATTTAGTGGGTTATAATTCATTTTTAATAGTAGAGTGCTTAGCAAATGGGTGGATTGTAATTAATCATTGTCGTCTAACTGAGAAAAATATGGGATTGATTGTGAGTTATTAACTTGATACATTGTACCTTATGAAATCACAAGCGGTATAATTGGCTTTTACTTGTTGAAACCTCATGACTTATAATCAATTAAAAATAAAAGTAAATTCTAAGCCAAAATAAGTCAATTGTCAAGTATTTTATGAACCATTTTGATTATTTGTCATGCTTTGAGAGGGGTTTTTCCCTTTTTTTTTGAAAAAGTATTTTAATTTCTGGAATTTTCAAATTTTAGGGGGTATTGTGAAACCCTCAAAGTTTAGAAGGGCATCGCCTTAAGTTCCATAGTGCGGGGGTTATTCCTTTCCTTTCGTGATTTCATATGCAAAAATGACCGAGATAGATATGGTGGGGTACCAAGGAATTGAACAACGGGCCCCACTATAAGATAGATGACGTGGACGACAAGTAACCCGTGGAGTCGCAGAGTGGCACTACAGGCACACCTTGTGCCACACCCTCAGCCACACTCCCCTCTCTCTCTGCTACAGTAACCGGGCCCACTGTGGGCCCGGTTACTGTAGCAGAGAGAGAGGGGAGTGTGGCTGAGGGTGTGGCACAAGGTGTGCCTGTATCATTTTTGTTCGATGGAGAGGTTGCCTAACGAGACAAAAGATGACGCGGACAAGCAATTCAATGATTACCAATTCAATATTTACACTTTACAGGCCGCATATGTTTCGGTCCGAATCGGATCCGGGTCCGAAACCGACAAAATTATATGGGTCCATAATCCATTTATTCTAGAAATTTATGGTAAGACCCTATGACTCGTAGATTTCAGCCTTTCTTTGCGTTAAGGGGGTGTTTGGTTCAATTTCTAGAAATTATAGGAAATGTTTTCCATCTAAAATATGATTTCCTTATATTTCTTAAAAAAATTATATGAAAAGTTTTAAGAAATAAAAAAGTACCAATTTTCTTGTTTTTTGTAATTTGCTTGTTTGGTTCAAAACAAGAAAATAGCTCATAACTTTATAGAAAATAACAAGAATTGGTAGGTTTTTAATTAAATATGGTATGTGTCAGATTTCTGGTGATTTCCTCTCATTTTGAGAGGAAATTGCTTTTTGTAAAATTTGGTAGGTTTTGATATTTTATAGAAAATATTTCTGTAATTTTTTTGTTGAACCAAACACAATTTACAGAAATCTCTGGAAAACTTTTAATTATAAATTTGCCATTGTCAGATGTTTTAAGAAAAGTTTTCTCAAAAAGTGTGCAACCAAACAGCCCCTAAGTCCACAAATTTGTTCTTGACAAAAGGAGAATTTTGTGAAGCCTCTCAACTACTTTTACAGTTTTCAAAGATTTAGCAATAATTTACATTTTCACTAACTATTTTCTCAAAAATAAATATATTTCCGTTTATTACTTCAAAAACCTCATGGGACAGGAATTGTATAGTCTTTTGAAGTACATATATCCACTGAGGAGTTTTATTAATGATCGAATGCATATTTCATGTGAATGAAAAAGTCAAATATGATCCTATCCGTATAATATGTATATCTTATTTTCTCTCACATTTAATCCTACAAATTTGCATAGTGTATATTGATACTCTGCTGTCCAATGTTTCACTATGGGAGCATAGGAGATTTGTAGGGGAAACTTACTTAAAAAAATGCTTTTTTATAAATAGTATAAAATTCTCCATCTTTGTTTTAAAAAACAATTCCCTGTACGTCAAGAAACGGCATCGTTCTTTTCTTTCAATGAAAAACAAAATTAAATCCTACACCCTAATACCTAAATTTGTTCTACCAGTCGCAATAGTCGATCTAGGATTTCTAGAAAGCAGTGTCACCACATAATTAATGTTTGAAAATTACAATTATTCTCGACGAGTTTTCATATTTTGAAACGTTATTAACATCATCAAATACATTTTTCTCAATACATTGCAATAGTATAATTGTCTAACTATAATTTAAATCAGTCTCGAACGCAAACTATATCACGTATCAAGGTAATTATTTGATCTTTAACCTTATTATACTGATGACTAATAAATTTTAAAAAAGAGATGACACGTTTGCAAATACTTCAATATTAAATCTGAACAACCAGAACTTAGAATCGTTGAGTGGCCATCATGTTTAGAAGATATAACTTAAAACTCTACTTGATGTCCCATAAGATGACATCATAATTTGGCTCTTTATATTGTTTTTTTTTTCACTTAATTTAGATGTTAAACCCACCCAACATGTTAAGGAGTCCCTGGGCAAAGTGGTGTCACGTGACACCACTTTGCCTCATTTGGATCAGCCATTGACAAGTTGGACATCGATCACGATACTGAAATTATAAAAAATATAGCATATATACCTGTTACGCATCTCCCCTTTTATTCAAAATTAAAAGTCATTCTTTTTACTTGGATATCATTGCCCAAGGCAAAAGGTGTGACAGCTCCTAATTTGTTGGACCTCATACACTACTCAAGTGGAGAAAATGATTCTCCCTGCATGGCCAGTTATTTCTTTCACTCAATCTTGTGCTCATAAAATTCCAACGATATAGAATCGAATAATTTGAGGCTAGAGTTTGGTTCTGGATTCACGTAGCTTTCTTTTGGATGGGGAAAAGAAGAAGGATAATACGTGAGGTTGAGAAAGAGCTTCACAATTTGTGTTTACAAAAAATGATGACATCTCATTTTCAAATGTCCCAAGGTGCGGATTAATTAATTTGGCTCTCATCAACTGGCGTGCTATCTCTTTTACTACAATTTTCCAAGTATTGTTAGATGAACCTATATATAATGTGTTAACATATTGCAGAGCTGACAATGTTGGAACCACATAACAACATGCCATGTATTTCTTCATGATAGTTGTGATCCAAATGAATATATATATACCTAATATCATATCTCCCATGCATTTTAATATGATGAGTGCCTAAAAAAGTTGAATAAATAATTTGCTATTTTCTTTTTAAAAATTAAGGTCATAAGCTAATCCTGAATCTAGAACTTGTACAACTAAACCTCTCACCTGATTAGTGAGATAAGCCTCATCCAACATGTAGAACATAACTATTTGCGTTGATTCGGACAACATAACCATATAGCCTAAATTATAATCTTCTAAAGAAAGAAGAAAAATATTCAAGTTTCTCTCATTACTATACAGTGTTTATGCATGCTAAATTAATAGGCTAAACAATTAAATAAGACATCACAAACCTCTAAACTTTTCAAATCAAATCAAATTTAATTACTCAAAAGCATGATACGTGGAAAGTTTAAAGTCCTTTTTCGCCAACTTAATCGTCAATATTGAGGATTATAAAAGTTTAAAATTTTATATATATATATATATATATATATATATATATATTATATATATTATATATATAAATAGAGGAGAGAGAGAGAGAGAGAGAGAGCAGAGAGAGAGGAGAAGTAGAACTTATGTCAGCTTAAGTGGATAGCAAGTCTTTGTCTACCAAAGTTTCTATCCACTCATTCTCATCCGCTCTCTATACACACACACACACAAACACACAATTTGTGTTTGGTAGTGCATGAGATGTCTTATTCTCATCCACTCGCTAACTCATATGAATGTGGTCCCGCGTTTAAATAAGTGGATGGAAATGAACCACCTCACTATCAAGCACAAAAACTTATCGTAATCTTTGAGTTATATTTGTATTAAAAGCGTAATTGGCTATAGTGTACAAAAGGGGGATGAAGCAACAATAGCCATAATAATTATGAAAAAAACATATTACATTAGTATGAGTGCTCCAAAAAAGTTTGGTGGCTGGTCATGCTACATTTGGTCAGAGATTCACACTTCCAGCAGACATGATTGTGAAGTGCCCTGGATTAATTAATTGTCACTCTAAGTATGGATCCAAAACATAATTTGGTTTTGGCATCAATATATATAACTGGGGTTCATGCTGTCTCTTGTTGTCCTAACCTTTTGCGAATGGTGGGGATACCACTGATCTCACCCTTAATTTACGGAAGAGATCATACTAATGGTTAAGAAGTTTGGTGGATGTCAACTTAAGTTGACACAAGTTTTCTTCTATATATATATATATATATATATGAATTTTGGAAACATTTGAAAATTTTTACTGACTGTGTTAATAAAATGGTGCCGGGGCATGAGCGAAAATTATCCAAAACACGTGACTTGTTTATCCTATCTTCTAATGTGTATAATAGTTTAATGAAAAGTTTATGACAATTTTCTTTGGCACTTTTGTGGGGAACGCACCAAAGTACAACATGATAGTTTCTGAAATATTGTATCTTAGTAATAATGAAAATAATTCATCTAGAAAAATCTTTTATGCCGCTATATTTTACCGAAAATTAAAAGTACCATACATGCCTACGGCTAGCGCATGCAATTTAGAGTGTCACATAATTAAGCAAAAAAAACAAAGGGATTCATATAATTAGTTAAGACTCCAGATCGAATCGCTTCATTGCCATGATCAACATCTAAGGCTCTAAGCTAACCTTTCATTATAAGGAAAAAAGCGAGGGAAAAGAATATGCTTAAACTCCTAAGGTAGTTAAGCAGATGGAGTGGATGTCATTATTATAGTTCATCTTTAATTATACTTTTTGGGTGATTAGTTTGGGACATAATATGACACCAGACTATCTATTTCATGCTAACCACAACGTTAGCATAATATGTCCCCTTCACGATCCGGACCCCCACTTAAAAAAGTAGAGGAAAAGAAACAATTAAAATATATAAAGGAACTTCACCTGATAATTATAACTTCATTTCATCCCCCAAGCTGTTAATTCCTTTTTTTATGTAGTTATTTATCAGTTGATAATTAAATTAACCAAGTTGTTGCAAGGGACTTTTCACAGTTTATAACATTATGAGGATGTTTGAGAAGCTTATTTTTTGGTAAAAGCAGGTTTTCACAGTTTGCCCTTCTTACTACAACAAAATTGATAAATTATGATATGTTTTTTATCTCTACGCGACACCTTTTCGTGTTGCGCAAATAGAGCGCGACAAATACAAAAAACATGGTTAGGGAATGTTTGTTTCACCAAAATTTTTTGGCATTTGGTATGTATTACAAGTTTTGGGATCAAAAAGTGAGTTTTTTTTGTATTTTGGGATTCCATATATGGTGTTTGTTTTAAGAAATTTTTTAGAATATTGAATCTCAAAAGTACAAAAAGTACACAGTTTTTAGAATTTGTCAAACAAATCCTCTCAATTGGAGAGGATTTTGACAAATCTCGTAAATGAGTGTGCTTACCATCTCAATTGGAGAGGATTTGACAAATCCCAAATTTATTTTTTTGTGGGGGTAACCTCACCAAGATAATATATTCATCATATTGCAAAAAATTGACATTTAGTAATGCTACAATTTGAGCTTAAAACAATCAAAATATTATAAATTGTAGTATCCAAAATCCAAAAATATTAATGAAACAAACAACATTTTAGAATTCTCAATCCATAACAAAACACCTATGGATTTCAAATCCCATGGTGAAATCCATATCCTAAAATTATAGAATTTGAAACAAACATCTTCTCAAAGGATGTGCGGAGAACGTCTTTCTGTATATACGAGAATATGTCACAAAACTCATAAGTCATAACACATTTATATATCGAGAGTGGTGACACATAATTATGTCAAAAAAAACTCGTATTTAATAGCCGCGCCACGTAGATACGTCTATACCATTAAAAATATGGCCAACAAACTTTTCAGCCTTCCCGCTTTAAGATTTAATATGGCTGACGATGGCCGCGCCATGCCATGCTATGTTATGCATGCAGGCGGTATGTGAGAGGGTGATGGTGAGGTGGTTAATGCTATGGGTCACCGGTCGCTGGTGGGTCCCAATTGAATAGAAGGGGACAATGACAGCAACTGGTGACCAACCCACGTGACTTGTCGACCCGACCAATGGTGCTGCATGCAGTACTTTTCCCAGGTCAGCTTCCCCACGATTAGCGGAACAAAAAGGTAAAAATTCAAATTGAAAATTGCATCCCAAAAATGTTAATATAGCATCAGATTCTCGTCTGCCAGAACATCAAAAACAAAGACAAAAATTCTAAGGGCCCGTTTGGATGGGTTATTTTGTTCCGAAAACGGGTCCCACGTGTGAATTGTTTAGCTTCCACTGTCAAATATTACTTTAAATGCTCACTCAATAGTCGATGTGGGACTATATCTTAAGGCGTCACAGAAAATTTTGAAGAAAGAGATACTTTGAAAGTATGAGAACATTATGTATTTATAGAGTTCGTGTCTTCCAACGCACAAACGTTGGAACAATCAACCCCCAATAAACCTCTTGACGAAAGAAAAAAAGAGTTGGGTTCCAACAAGCATTTATTTGGTTTCGCACTTGAGGAGCCCGAAAGCTGCCACAACAATCCCATCTGTGCAGCTTTCGGTGGCAAAAACGTCTCTCGCCTCTAAACTTTTAGAGGCGTTTTTGCCCGAAAGCTGCCACAGATGGGACTGTTGTGGTAACTTTCGGGCTCCTTCCCATCCAAAAAACGAAGAAACAAACAGCCCCTTATTTGAAATATTGTAGCTACCAGTCACTTATTGGCTGATTAGTTGTAATTTAATTTGAATCTAGAATAAACTATTTTCAGGCATTTTACTTGAGCCGGAACTCCTTGATATTCGTTACTAAGTAGGTACAAATAATCCACTCATCTCATTTACTTGCAAGAGACGGCAAAAAATGAAAACGTCGCACACAACAAATTATGAAATGATATGCTTGTGCTTTTTATTACCAACTCAAGAATACCATTCAATCATGAGAAGTTATCAATAACTGATATGAAAGCTTCCTCGCATGAACAATGTAGGACCTTTCTGAATTTTTTTCAAGATATCAACAAGATATTTGATCTCATTGCATTAGTCAAATGATGCGAATGAGAGAAAACTAGAATGTCGCCAATCTAAAAAGGTCTGTTAATGTACACATATAATAATAACAGTATCAAAGTTGGTGCATGTAAAAGATATCTCTACTGTCTTTTATCTCTCACGGTTATAGAAATTATCTCCGATTATGTCTAAGTCACAAGTTTTTAAAAAAAAACGTATTGTGAACTCTTGAAAATTGTTGCTGCGATGTTAACATATTAAAAAGATATAAATTATTCTATATGTGGAGATCGAGAGTAGTCTGTCTGTAGGCGTCAAAAAATGCTGAAAGATATCCAAATACAGCTCAAGAGGAAATCATCCAAAAAGGCAGAGAAAAGAACCATAAGTCCTTTACTGTCTCGCACCGCCGAGACAGACTTGACCTGTCTCGCCGTGCTGAGGACCAGTCTTGTACTTCTCGCCGGTAGCCGAGACAGTTCTTCACTTCCGCGGGCGAGCACCATGACTTTTACCTGTTGCTCCTTATCGCCCCACGCCGACGACAAATCTTTTTGCCTGTCCGGCGCGACGCCGAGACACACTTTTACTGTTCTCGGCCCACGCGGAGACAGTCTTTCTGTCTCGGCCACCGCTGAGACAGTCTTCTGCTGTCTCGCCCGTGGAGACAGAATGTAGGACTGTGGGCTCGCCACGGTATAGTACCAGCTTGTCAGAAATGGTCAAAAACTACTACCTTTACGAACCATGCCCTACCACCTGCCACTAACTGTTTCAAGAACGTCGCGGTGGAAACGTCACCTTGGGGTGCCAGAGGAATCACCGTTGGATAACTTGCCAGAAATAACGGAGTTTAAAAACGTCGGGAGCAGCGTAGTTACAATGAGAACTGTATTTCCGAGACGAGTAGTTACTGTCTCGCTGGTGCGAGCACTCAGCAAATTACTGCCTCTCGCTGGTGCGAGACAGCAAACACTGGCTCGAGCCAGCGAGCACAGCAAACACGTCTCGCCCGCGAGACAGCACAATGTGTCTCGCGAGCACGTTCTTTCATCCAGAGGCTTATAAAATACCCCTCGAAGGCCATTTGTCGCAGGGGCTTTTTTTTTTTTCCGAGCCCAGAGATCCAGGGCTGATCGATTTGCTGCAAGCCACTTCAGAGGCTCACTACAGAAGGATGCGGCCCAGCAGT